TTTTCCTGAAAAGAGATCACTTGGGACAAAATCCTTAAATAACACTTCATAACGTGAATGTATTAGGGAGACATGACAACAGATTTTGATATAAACTGTAAACTTACTCAGATCAGAGAAGTTGCTTAGAGTTACAGAAGGCAGCCCTGGGCTCACCTCTCAGGAAGTGGCCCCGATTAAAAGATAAAGAGGAATTTTATACATCTCCAGTTTGCCACATCATTACATCATCACATCATAGATGTTAGCAGATGAGTAGACATCCATGCCTCCGGCCTCGTCAAAATATTTTACTTTGTTCTTAGCTGAAGGATGCCACTCTCATTCCATTTCAAAATCTTTGCCACGTAAAGAATGAAGATACTAACTGTATATCTGGACAGAGGAACTGTCCTAATTAGATAAACTATTAGGGAAAACATCATTTCTGATACGCAACAGGCAGCTAATATTAGGGTGGAATAAACTCACATCATCAATGATAATTATCCTGAATTGTATATAAATGTATTTCCTAAATGTGTTTCTTATTGAAGCACTTTTTTTTCTATATATATCAGGGGAAGATGGTGTTTCTTGTTATTACATTGACATAAATTTTTGCCATCAAAATATCAAAGGTAATAAGTTCTTCTCCTAGATCCCAATAAACCTATTGGCTTAAAATTTAGATCAGTGCCCTAAAAAGGGTTAAGATTGTGTCTATTTGGCTTTTTTTTCCTTCTGATTTGGTGATGATTTAGTATTAAAAATAAATGCTGTGCTACATAGGCAGTTAGAGAATTCTCCAGAGATTTCTTAACACCTAAAAGGTCTTTTGTGTGCCTTTTGGAACATTCCAGCTACTCTCCCAGAACTTGACGGTGCAGGTATTTGATAATTGGCTTTTTTAAAACTTGAAAATGATCACAAAGATCAGGAAAAATAAATTAGAAATCATTATTTAACTGATATATTGTGAAGGAACAGGATAAAGTGAGCTAATTATAGGTATAGTGGAGGATGTTCTTTTTCTGAGTGGATCATCTAAATAAGTGGTCCTCCTAACTGTTAATCATTCTGGTGAGATGTTTATGTACTGTAAGGCGACGTGCTTGTCCCCATTTTCACTTACCGGTGGTGACTCTGACATAGTGGAAAAATTGCTAATCTTCTTTTATAAATTTGTATGAGCGATGCAAACAGCAACTTTTAAACAGAGCTTGCATGAGCAGAAATGGGCTCCTGCATGCTCTCGCACGCATTTAATAGGCCTTTCCTCTGGGGAGCGGGTACAGGGTTGTGCATGTGCATTTTTTTATTTTATTTTTTTAAGTGGAAAGGATGGATCTTTACAAAAATGTGCGAAAATCCTCCACTATACCTTTAAATCCTATCCCCAAGCTAAACTTTCTTGAAACTTTAGCCATTGAGTTCAAGAAATAGTATCCAGGTTGGTCCGGGAACATGAATAGACTATTCTAAAGAATGTTCCAGCTGAGTACCAGCTAAATTCAGAAATATTTACATAAGTTCCTGGCAAGTTCAAAGTTACAGGAAAGTCGTCTATACATCCCAGAAACTATTATATAGTGCTGCAGGGTATTGTTTAAATTCGAAAGACAAATCTCCCTTGATTTTTCTTCTGTATGCAGACGCTGATGGACAAAGAACAAATTCACTTGGAACTAATCCATAGATGCGAGCAGACTCTAAAGCTGACTGTTGACAGTTGTGCGAGAATTTTTCGATTGGGTTGATTTTCAGCCTGATCGTGCGTCGTGTACCGGGGGTAACGAGGGGTGATCAGCTTCTCACGACCACCTCCCGATCAGAAATCTTGAGGTCGGGAGAAAATCAAACATGTTTGAAATTCAGTCGGCCGTCATTAGGTGGTCATGGGCGAATCGCTCAGTGGGCAAACAAGGATTCTTCTTCTTCCTCCCAGACGAAAACGCAAAACCATGTTTTTAGACGTACAGTGTGAGCAGGTAGATCGCATCAGAGTGTCGGGTTGCATAGTGTGAGAACAAACATCGTGAGCTGTGAACTCACACTGTACGATGAAACTGCAGGGTTTGTCGTACAGTGTGAGCTGTAGCTGCGTGCAACAATTGAAAAAATCGTACAGTGTATATCCGGCTTAGGAAGATTTTGCCGTTGTTAGCTGGCTTATTCCCACAGTTTGTATTTATGAACTTTATAATAAGTGCAAATCTAAAATCGAGTTGAAATATTGAATACTTTCCTTTTTTATCCTCAGCTTCATGGAGTCTCTGGGAACAATGGTCAGTTTATTTTCTCAGAAAGTGAAAGAAAAGACCGAACTGATTCGAGAGCTCTCCCTGAAACATGGTTTAGAGTTTCAAAGGGAATCAGCTGGTTCCTCTGGACAACAAGCCACAGCAGCATTTGGATCAAAGACAGGGGTGAGACCTAATGTTTATGTCATATACACGTAGAGACCGGTTTATCTACAATTTCAGCTACATTCTCTTCTAAACAATTCCCTAAAAGGTGTACCGATCTGTTCGATCCATGGTGGAGGGGGAGCTTAAAGCGGGCCAGGTCAACTTCTCCTATCGCACGGATTCAGGCTGCAGAACTCTGCTGCGGCTGCATCGATCCCTGCTCTGGCTGAAGATGATGTTAGAGGGTTTGTCTAAAGGACCAGACTCTGAGGGACGATACAAAACGCCTGGAGAGCTCAGCAGGTAGCAAAACTATAACAGATTAATCTAAAGTAGAATTGATAATTATTTAGACAAACTTTTCCAAACAGTAGTGAGAAGTATTATTCACAATATGCCATTACTGCAGATGATATAACTAAACGCTCCATCTCCCACTACTAAAGCCTGGTTAGTAGGTGTGGAGTTTGGAAGCTGAGGCAGAGGCAATTCAGCAAAAACACAAGATTTATTTTACGTCTGCAGAGGGAGAGGAAAAAGCTCTGACGGAGGCAAGCTCAGTACCGACATTTATACAACTCCCAATAGACACACATTCTCCCAGGGCAACTAACCCACCCCTGCATACAAAATACTTCCTCACACACGAACATTTGGAGGAAAACAACTTCAGTTCATCAAGGACATTCCCTGTTAGGTCAATATATCTTTCACTGGCAAGATAAACATTGCAGAACAGGTGTCTTCTGTTCACGGCATGAGGGAGGCTGTGTGACCTTGATTCTTTATTTCTCATGACTCATGAGCATGGAGACTGGTACAAGACTTCTCTACAATCACTCCTATTTAGGCAGAACAAAGGCACACTTAAAATATTTCATCTCACAATTAGGCCGAGGAAAAACACAATTTCACATAGGATATACAGGAGAGATGGAGAGCAAAGTTTAAATAACCACTGCATTTTGAACTGTAAAGTGCCTTGAGATGACTTGTGTTGTGAATTGGCGCTATATAAATAAACTGAATTGAATTGCATGACTTTACAAAGATGCATCTGGATGGATTTGGAGATTTCTGTGGAAATTTCTGTTGGACAAAAGAAAACAAACTAGAGATTACTGGCAGGAACTATTGGAAGACTGATGAGTTAGGCATGTCAATCCCAAGCTTTACACTAACATATTTAAAATGTGAGGCCATCTGAACAACAAGTAAAGTTTGGTCCAAATTGGATCATCAATGGGGAGAAGATCCCAAATGCAGTTCCAGTTCACCCTTCAACCTGCTTGAAAAGCTGTGCTTGAACCTTTGGGAGTTAAGAGTGAACACATATCTGAAAACCTTATAGATTGAAATAATTTTGTAAAGAAAGCCAGGCTAGAAGTCAGAAACCTCCAATTGAGAAATATTGCCTCTAAATGTGGTTCAACAAGTTTTCAGATCAGAGAATATTCATTTCAAATAATAATTAATAATGGAACTTTATTGATCTCACATTGGAGAAATTCACTCTCTGCATATAACCCATCCCCTCGGGAAGCGGTGGGCTGCCATTGAGCAGCTGCCATTCAGAGTGACAGTCTGTGGGAGTGAGGCTCGAACTCCCAACCTCGGGTTTAAGACTGGAGACTCTCCGTTAAAGAAAATTTGGAGCCGTTCACCAAACGAACGTCCAATCAGCGTTGGCTTTGAGGCGGTTTGAGGTATGACGCAACGAGAAGCGCGACAGTTCAGTCTAAAGAACATGGCGGCTTCAGCTGATGAAACTAGCATTAGCGTGGCTATCGAGCAAGTTTTATCGGAATTACACAGTATTTCTTCACTGAAAGAAGAGCAAAACACTGCTCTGGAGGCTTTTCTCAGAGGAAAAGATGTTTTTGCTCTTCTCCTGACTGGTTTTGGCAAGAGTAGCCTGGCTGTTAGTACGTCATATGCTTCGTTGATCTGATTGGTTTATTTGGCCCGTCTATCACCAACATAGGCCAATCAGCTAACCAGTATTTTCGCCCCTTCCAAAAATTACTTCAACGGAAGGTTTCCAGATGGATATGCGGAGCAAATCCATCTGGCGGAGTCAGGTTACGGGATTCCAAGCTGTATGCCCTAAACACTAGGCCGCCACTCCCCGTTTTTTTGTTTTTATTTTTTATTATTGGGTTTAATACAGCTCAGTGAAGTAGTGGGTAGCACTACTGCAAGAAGGTTCCGGGTTTGATTCCCGGCCCGGGGTCTTTCTGAATGGAGTTTGCATGTTCTCTCTGTCCATGCGTGGGTTCTCTCTGGGTACTCCGACCTCCCACGGTCTAAAAACATGACTGTTAGATTAATTGGCTTCTCTAAACTCTCCTTAGGTGTGAGTGTGTGCGTGAATGATTGTTTGCCCATTGACAGCTGGAGATAGGCACCAGCTCCCCTCGCGACCCCGCTTGGGATAATCGTGACGGAAAATAGAAGGGTTTAATATATTGGGTTTATGAATGTTGCTGTGTCTTATTAAGTGTTATTAAGTAGATTATTTATGTTAATTTGGGGTCAAATTTAGCTCACAGTTGCCCATTTTCATTGCCCAGAGATGCCTATAAGGTGGCGCTGGCCCCCCACCACCCCTGGATGCTCCGTCAGGCGGCGGAGATCGTTTTCCTCGCTCTTCCCGACAGAGAGTACTTCCTGCAGCTGGTGTGTGTGAAAAAACAGGAGGAGGCCACGCCTGTGCTGCGCATCATCATCCAAGCCCTTTCGGTAGTGCACACACGGACTCAACGGATCCTTAAGAAGTACGACATGTTGGAGCTGCCCTGAACACGACACCGCACCCTCTGAAGACTGACACATCCTGTCACTACTCAGCAAGAAAGACAATAGAGACTTTAGATATACTGGTGGTCTGGAATAAAAGATATTTAATGCTTTTTTATGCTGATGGTACAAAAATGCAAGTTTTTAATGAGGGGTAATTTATTAACTACTGTTTTTAACAGCAGTAACATATGTAAGATTTAATTTTATCTTTAATTATTAGCGGGTCTCTGCCTTTTAGCTAGTTATTCTAATTATATGGTATGCCCTCGGGGATAAAATAACACTTTAGGTAGACACCAAATACTTTGGAAGATCCAAGTCTTGGTTACTATGGTTACCCATTGTATTTTGGAGGAGCAGATGGAGAAGCAACTGAGACAATTCTTGTATCTAGACTTCCTAACCAAGCAGTAAACCTTGTCCTGACCACGCTCACAATTACTTGTGTCAAAATTGCTGTGGAACCTGAGGAAATAGTCTTTACAGACATTTTAACATCTGCGTCTTACAAGGCTTTGATTTACTCCACTCTGTAAAGCCTTGAACTCAACGCTATTTCTAAATATTTTAAGTGAAAAAGCTTCCTGGATGGGAAGAGAAACATCTTCAAACTTGGAAACAAGTCCAGTGGATTTTTTTTATTTTTTTCAACTGATGTTGATGTTCAGAGGGTGCCAAATTGTTTTAGGAAAATATTTTTCAATTATTCACTCCAGTTAAACAAAACGGATCGACGGATTTCACTAAGTCGGCATTTTATTACATCTTTGCAAAGAGAGAACAAGACGTCATACAGCCCTTAATGCATGGTAATCAGCCCTGTTCTGATCTGGCTAGTGTTTGTCTTCCTTACTTACAATGATGGAAAGAAGTCAGAGTCAAAACAAATTACAGATACTTTGGTTAAACAGTAAAAATGTTATGAATAAATCTTGAGAAAGGACCTGGCTTGTTATGGGAATAATAATAATAGTATAACTCAATATATGAAATAAGAGAAATCTAAATTTTCTGACTACACGGTCAATGGACAGCTCCACTCCTCTCCAAGTGTATAAGACATTTGGCTGACGATCAAAAGATGTGGCTACAAAATCGATCACTGACCTCCAGCAGAGACGTTCCCACTACAAAGTGCACTGCAGGATATTCTTATTATTGGACATGATGTTCATTATGGACAACCCATGGCTTGTACAGAATTCCAGTGATGGAACACCACTCAGAGCTGGGGGTTCATTTCCCCCTTACCACAACCCTCCAGGTGTCACTGTCATTTCCCATACGGGTGTTGAAGCCCAAAGAAGAATGACCAGATTCCTGAGAGGGGCTCCCATGCACCCATGCAAGGAAGACTATAGTGAGTTCACACAAAATTTGTTAAGAGCGTCAAAAACATTTAACGCCAAAATTTGGATGCTGCGTCAAACGCTGGTCGAGATGTTTAGATGCTCGGCGCTCTGGTTGTTTATCTGCTCTGTACTTTTGTTACAAGCTAAGGAGCAGCTGGGCTTTATTTACTTTGCTGAATTTGGAGAAAATTGCTTTAACTGTTTTAAGCAACAGAATTCACCGCAAAACATCTGTGCGGTTAGTTCATCAGGATCATGATCCAGCTAAAATATGCAGTTCTTGTTTGGAGCGCCAGACCTCCAGCATAACAGCGGACGGCAGTGCTGGGAATCCCAAATGAAAGCACTCTGAAGCGGCCAGCCTATCGGGGATTTCCTGCTACCGTTCAAAGCGGCTGGAGTGAATATGGTTAAATATGAATAAGGTTTGTGGTAAAAAAAATGCAAGAACTACCAGAATATAAAATCTAAAATTTTTAGTTTAATTTAGGTATTTATAAACTGTTTCATAAAGAGGTGTTTTAGTGCAGCGAATGATCAGACCTCCACTCTTTTCCTTGAACATAATAAACCATATTTATTTTTAATATGCAGGCAGCTCTGCAGAAGGTCCTGGATCAGTTTTACATATAAGTGGTCATTCTGTAAAAGTTCAAAAAAATCCACTGGATTTGGTTTTCCAAGATTTGAAGACGTTTCGCTCCCTCTCCAGGAAGCTTTCTCAATTCAAATGTCTGGATCCGCAGTGAGTTTGAGTCTTATATAGACAACGCCTTGTATCGCTTGGAAACATGCAAATGGAAACTGATGAATGGGTCGTTAGTTCCATCGTTAGCCTGTAATATCTGAAACCTGTCTATGATTGTTAAGGGTCAGTCGTTAAGGAGGTATTGTTCACCGGCTGGAGCGGGTAGGTCCCTCGTTCCTCTGTGATGGGGTGGGGGGGTGTGGCAATATCTGGAAGGGATCATCTCTATAACTGAATTGTACGTTTTTGGAAGCTGGAATCTGAGTCCACCACCTCTGTTTAAAGTTGGTTTTTCTCTCTTAACATAGATGGCTTCCTTCACACCCCTCCCAAACCACCTATTTTCTTTATCCAGAATGTGAACATTCTGGTCCTCAAAAGAATGTCCTTTGTCCACAAGGTGTAGATGTACTGCGTAGTCTTTTTCAGAGGAGGGCGCTCTTCTGTGTTGGGCCATGCGTCTGTAGAGAGGTTGTTTGGTTTCTCCAATATAAAGATCAGAGCATTCCTCGCTGCGCTGAACAGCATATACCACTCCGCTCATTTGAATTGAGCGGAGTGGTATATGAGACGTTTGAATTGAGAAAGCTTCTTGGAGAGGCGGCGAAGCGTCTTCAAATCTTGGAAACCAAGTCCAGTGGATTTTTTTGAACTTTTACGGAATGACTATGACCTGGATGACTGAGAATCTTCATCAGCTTATAAGTGGACACTGTGTCAAGCTGCACAAGTGTTCAATTCCTTAACTCCAGTGTGGAACCCAGGGAAGCTCTGATGCTGGGACGCCAGGACGCTCCTACACTTCGCAACACTCCTGATGCAGGATCTCTAGACACAGCTACACTTTGCAAGCTTTGATGCCCAGAAAGCGATGGGTGTGAACCATAAGGGTTACAGCAGAGAGGCCTGCTGATGGTGGTGTAGGAGGTAAGGTGTAGAGCTCTTTGAGTTCAGAATGCTCTAAAAGATAAACGACTGCTGTATTCGAGGAGTGCTCAAGGATTGTGTTTAATTAATAAATTTTTTCCCTTCTAATTTGACATTATTGGATAACCATCACATTTAAACATTTTGAATTGATCAACACAAAGTTAAGGGATCTTTAGGTATAAAGCATAGTAAAGTCTATTTCTGTTTTTCATTGTGACGTAACTAGTGTTCAAGGATCTGATGGATTCAGGGCAGGGTTTCCCTCCACCTGGTGACTCTGCGAGGGATTCCCGATAGGATTTTCCTCCATCTGGTGACTCCTGGAGGAATCCAGGACAGGATTTTCTTTCATTTGGTTACTCTGAGATGGATCTAGTACAGGGTTCCCTTCCATGCGGGGACTCTGAGAGGGATCCAGGACAAGGTTTTCCTGAATCTGAGAGGGAACCAGAGCAGGGTTTGCTTCCATTTTGCGACTCTGAGATGAATCTACGACAGGGTTTTCCTGAATCTGCTCACTCTGAGAGGGATCCGGGACGGGGTTTTCTTCCATTTGGTGACTCTGAGAAGGATCAAAGACGCGATTGTCCTCGGTTTGGTGAGTTTTCATGTGAGTTTTTAGACAGTGGCTTTGGGTGAAGGCTTTATCACAGACATTGCACCTGTAGGGTTTGAGTCCATTGTGGGTCCTCATGTGGACTTTCAGGTGTTCCCTTCTGGAGCACTCTTTCCCACAGACCTCACAGACAAACTGTTTGATGCCTCGGTGGATCTTGATGTGGCTGTCCAGGTTGGCCTTCTGTTTGAAACGGCGGCCGCACTCTTGGCACTCATACGGAGCATCGTCAGAGTGAATCCTCATGTGTTTCTTCAGGTCGCATTTGACCCAGAAGCCTTTGCTGCAGACGGCGCAGACGAATGGCCTCACATTGCCGTGAGTTCTGAGGTGAACCATCAGCGTTCCTTTCCAGAGGAACGTTCTGCAGCAGATGTGGCAAAGGAACGTCCGATCCCTCTCCTGGTGGGTCTTGCTGTGCACCTTCAACGAACCCTCGAGTTTAAAGCGCTTCCCGCAGATCTCACAGGCGTACTGCTTATCTTCAGAGTGGGTCAGCCTGTGCTGGGTCATAGCTCGGCGAAGGCGGAAGGACCTGTTACAGACGTCGCACACGTGTTTTTCCTTATTAGTGTGCAGCTTTTTGTGGGACAAGAGATGCGATTCCAAACCGAATGTTTTGAGGCAGATATCACACTTGTAGGGTTTATTTTCCACATGAAGCCATTTGTGATAATTCAGCGAAGCCAAATTTGTGAAGGTTTTACTGCAAACTTTGCATTTAAACTGACTCTCCCCTGTGTGCTTGGCAATGTGGAGGTTGAGGCTCTGGATGGAGACAAACGTTTTCCCACAGTGTTCACAGCTGTGGACGTTTTGGTGATTTCGAAGGTGTTCTTTCAGCTCATCCACAGACGCAAACTTCTCTCCACAGGCGCCACAGATGGCCTGAGGATCGCTGGCGTGATTCCAGACGTGGCTGATCAGGCTCCCTATCTGTCTGTACCACGCTCCGCACACTTTACAAGACATTTTACTTTCCACGGTCCTTTTCTTTACACTGTTCTCCTTCTTCTTTTTTCCTCTTTTCCTGGGAGTCTGAGGTTTAGGCTCAGGGTTCCAGTTGTCATCTTCAGCTTCATTGTCAGGGTCTGCGCTGTTTTCGCCCGCCTCCATTACGTCCATACTTTCAATAGGGCTACAGATGGAGGAAATAAAAACAACTTACCGTTATACGAACATCTGGCTGCACAAAATGAGAAAAACCTGCAACATTGGTACTGAATGTTGAGACTAAAACGAATTTAAAATGACTTTAAATAGAGAACTTTGCCAGAACTACCCTTTCTTTCACACGGCGTCATGCTTAGCGTATGAACTACCTTGAACTACAAGGCCTAGGTGAACTATGACTACATTTGCTGCCCTAATTACCCATAAAATGTGATAAAACAGGTAATACAACTTCGTTTTATTTACCTTTCTTGGACCCTGGTGTCGTCGCCCGTCATGACCACAGGGTTGACTGAAGGACCGTCGTCCATTTTCTAAAACAAAAAAGGTCAAATAATTAAATACAGTTGAATTTTTACCCTTTATGCACTAGGGATGGAACGGTTTATGAAAACCATCCGAACCGTTCGGTTCGACTGTCT